GGGAGCCCCATGAACCAGATTTGGCCTGCAGGCCTGGGGTTGAGCATGCCTGTTCTCAAGGTACTCATCTATTTATTGAATACTTGCAATGAAACTTATTTCTCAAGGTCTAGATGCATACTTAGAGATTCTACAAGTCTATCATCTGACTTGAGTGATAACCTGCTGAAAAAGTAGTACACTTAAAAAGTCTAAATATGAATTTACAAGATAAGGTGTAGCAACTTCAAATGAACTATTGCTTTATGCAGTACATACATGTTATATGCGTGTTATAAAGAGTTAAGATATTTATTTTCACGGCATGCTGCTCAGAGGGAGCCATTATGGCCTTTAAGTATATTGTATGGGTTGTAAAAATTGTATGGACATTTCTTTTATCAGAAACTAGTGTATCTTGTCAGCCAATATATTAATTCTCCCTCAGTTACAACCCCAAGCCTAAAAGTAGGTTAAATCAGGGGGAAAAAAATGCTAAATTGTGTTTCAAGCTGATCAAAGCAAGAAAATTTAGGGATGAAAGTCTAGACTCTGTCCCTGATCTCCACTGCTGCTGCCAACACCGCTAGCACGGATGGAGCTGCACTGCCCACCAGTGAGAGAATTGCTAATATTTCCTTGTATACATGTGATACCAAAAAGTGCAATTCGGGGAAAAACAAATGCCAGCCACCACCATCATGAGCTTGGTAATAAGTTACCAGAGAGTTGTTTATTCTCCCTCCTCTGGAATGGTAGGGCTACAAAAAATGTTGAGAGGGTTGCATAGTACACCAGTAAAGAACCTTGCACGGTACACTAACTCTCATAGGATATGGACAATCGTAGCTTTTAATGGCTTTCAAAGAAGAGGGGGAGAAGCCACTCTGATAAATCTCTGTAACTTTAACCCTGAATGAAACAGTGTTAAAATTAGGATGGTTCTGTTAAATTTGCATCTTTACAGAATCATGTAGATATAGCAGTTGTATTGTAACAGTTGATATTGGTATCACTGGATATTGATACAATTATTACTTCTGTCCCCCCACCTCTCTTGGCCCCCTGGGCAAAGGGCTACTTTCCACATTGCCCCTCAACACACCTAGAATATGTAGTTTTGTTGTCGCTGGCTGAGTGGCACAGAGCTGGACTCTGTACCTCTCCAATGGAAAAACATTAACTCAGTGCACATTTTAGTATGTGAGGCTCATAGGACATGATCAAAAGCTATTAAGGTCCATGGGAGTCTTTCCATTGATTTCAGTAGGCTTTGGATCAGGCCCATAGTTTGTGTGCACAAGTCTACCGGTTTATGCCTAGCATACTATCTCTTTCCACGTGTTATGGAGGCATTAATGGCAGCATCCTATGAAACAATCTTCTACTTCCATGCTGTTCTACTTTTGCTTTTTTTTCACTTTGCTTTACTCTCTATCAGAGGGATGAGTGACATTGTTTGGAGATGCAGGCTTTTGCCCTTAAATTACCCTGTTGTGCCTAAATGTTGCAGGGTCTGTTGCACAACAGGCTGTTATAGTTACTGTACCACATCAAGAAAATATGGATGGAATGTCTCCAGAAAGTGTCAGTCATAATTTCTTGCCTTTTGTGAAATTAGGAGAGAACAGTAATATTACTTTAATATGTTTTGTGATTTAATTATGAGGCATATCTGGTCAGCGTAAAATGAAACCATAATGCAGGGAAGAATTTTCTATAGAGAAGCACAGTGGTGAATCCGTTTCAACTAAGTGGGCCAAATCCTCTTGTTTCACAGGTGTAAATATAGAGCAGTGGTTCTGAACTTCTTTAGACTCACGGCACTCCTTGGAAGATGACAGCTCTTGCTTTCACTTTTTTTTACTATGGAAAAATAATACAGCAATTCTTCTGCTGCAAAGAATTTAGAAAACCTACAGCAGGACAGAATGTTTTTTGACCTTATGAATTCCTATTCAAAATCTCTGGGGTTATCTTGTGAATTATGTGTAGGTGTTTGCACACATAACAGTGGTAATATTATGTAACACCCTGCAGTACCCACAAATGAATCTCATGGTACCCCGGGATGCCACAGCACTATGGTTAAGAATCACTGATACAGAGTCTGCATTCATTTGTATGTTATTACACCATGTATATATTTAGTCTAGGATTTTACACAATGGTGTATAACATGTTTGATATTGCTTTGCAAATAATAATTATAATGTTGCTAGCATTACTAGTGCACAAAACATAAAATGGTACTGTAAGTGAAACCACGGTTTAAGTTTTCTTTATGCTGTGGTTCTTTTTTTACCACAAAGATTTTACTAAAGTTTAACATGTAGACTCATACTTTTATTATAAAAGAAATAATATTAGTGTAATGTATTGTGCAAATGTAAAGTATTACATCTAATGATATGAAATTATTTTACAAGGGTTTATTTACTGAGCAGTAGGACACATCTCTAAGGTAGTTATGGAGTATATTATGACCCAGTTCTCTTCTGCCTGAAAATGCAGCAACTATTTAACAGCAACATGACAGTTTAGGATGTGAAAAAATGACATACCCAGATGAAAAAGCAGAGGAAAGTTAGCTAAGCAGAATGTAGTCATATGAGCTAGATTTACCACCTTTCTGCTTATGAAACTGAAAGGAGATTCTTCATGATCACAAGTGATCAGAACCCCAGCTTTGCACCTAATCCAAAGAGTAATGGGTCTATTCAATATTGGGTGCATCCACACAAGATATTTACTGCACAGTAGCCTAATAACACTGTGCAATAGCATGCCAGTCAAAAACCATGCTAATATAACCTACTGTGCAGTGTTATTAGGCAACTGTGCAGTAAGCATCACAAAAAAATGTTCACCGGCGCTACTGTGCAATAAACGTAGTTACTGTGCTTTTAGTTAGTACTTCATTAAGGGAGTACTAAATATGTAGTAACTATGGTGCACTAATGAACATGTAGATGTGTTCACTGACATCCAATGGATATTACAAAAGTTACAGATAGAAAAGGCATATTTAGTCCCCTTGTTTAGCTCTATTCCAAAACATTTTCTAGTTCCTAAATATCTCAAGTGAAGGGAAATCTTATCACTTCCCTTAAAATCTACACTGGAATCTATGCATCATCAGGAAGATGTTCTTCCTAATCAGCCTTTTTCTGTGGTTAATTTCTTCTCAGATCTGAAACTTTTCTCTCATATCAGAAGGTGAAGGAAAAATATGTAGTTTGTCCGCTTTTCCTAATATGCTTTATAAAGGTAAATAAATGTCATCATCAGCATATTATGGATGGAAAACTGAAACACAGGGAAAACAGGCAGTGACTTGCTCATGGTCACCAGGTGAGTTGGTAGCAGAGCTGGGAACAAAATCCAGGGGTCCAGATGCCTAATTTGGCACTCTCCCCCTTGGACAGCCACAACTTTCATTATTCAGTCAAATAGCTCCTTTTAAGGAATTATTTTGTGGCTAAGAAAATCAAAGACATTTGGGAGAAGATTTATTTTTCCATGTGATACACATGATCAAAAATATGCATAGGGTTAAAATTATTTTGAAAGAAGCTAAAAACACTGGTGGACTTTTGAAAGCAAAAAGAACTGCATTTAGGTGTCCCCTAATGCTAACCATCAGTAAACAAGCTGTTAGGTTTTCTTTTTACTTAGCATAAGGAATAAACCAAGGTTATATCAAAGCCTGGAAATCTAGCAAGTACAGTGTATGAGGCTTATTGTAGCATAGTAATAGAATTTCATTTTTTAATTTCTAACTTGCTGCAGTGACATTTTTAAAGAGCTAAAACACATCTTGGCCCCAGTGAAACCAATGGGAGTTAAACTAGATCTCTGTGGGGCCAGATTTTGGTACCTTGAATGCATTCTAGATTGCTAAACAGATACAAGGGTACTTCAGGAGTCCAGCAGGAGCTCTCCTCTAATACACTCATTTTTATTTGTGCAAACACTACAGAGTTGCTTCATACTTTTACGGCGGCATGTTCTGCTTTTTCCTTTCCTTCTACAGTGATGCAGTAAAATAGCAGAAACTGGCAAGAGCACATATAAACAGTATAACCAAGAATTCAAGGCTGCTGAGAAAAATTGCCCCAAACAAGCGTAATGCCAGTAGCTAACCCAGGCAGGTAGTCAAACTTAAAAAACAAAACAAAACACGACAAATGCAGCCGACTCCCATGAGAGGTTAAAGGTTTGAGGGGTTTTTTGGGGTTTGGATTTTTAATTTTCCTTTTTAGTAATGTGAGAAAAACAGACTTCAGTACAAAGTTCTAGTTATTACTTACTCTCACTGCAGTAGTTGGAGTCTCAGAATTAAACACTTTCATTTCAGTTAAATGTTACAAGAGCTTACATTTTGTTTCTTAAACATTATTACAATGCCGGAGATGGGAAAATACATTTCAGGACCTGTTTCTGGTCTCCCAGACCAGTTTTATGCATACGAAACACTGTTGGCAGTGACAAGATGTGTCATGGCTACAGATAAGTGTGGAGTCATTTTGGGGCTCATTTAATCTTCTTCATTGTTTTGATTAACAAAATGTTCATCTTGTTGACACCTTAGCACTTCAGTGGATAGCTAAGGACCGCGGTAGTTCATTTCCTCATAAATATTTAATTTAGAAAAAGTCTGCTGGGCCACGGCACTTTTGACACTTGTATCATCTGAAACAAATCTTCTCACTTTTTTAATCAAACAGACCATGCTACAGGCACAGTTGGCTAACTATTTACAAAGCACCTAATTAAATCCTACTTAATTCTCCCACTCTGAAAATCCTGTGTCACTGGTGTGTGGACTACTGGTCACACAAAATGCATACCTTTCTCAGCCCCTGCACATGAGTTTATAAACTGCAAAACTGTAATGTACAGAAATCTGGTATAAGATAAACTCAACCTTTAAGCTCCAGTTATTTAGGGGGACGGGGAAAAAGTGAAGCAAACATAAAATTCAGAGGATTGAAGAAATAAGCTGAAGAATCACAGTTAAAGACAGGCAAATCTAGTTTAATGTTCACATGTAGAAATTACACATCACAGAGATTAAACAGGATTTTAACTGTAACATAGCTGCAATGAAGTGATAGTCATTTCGTATTAGAAAAATAATCTTGACGCAGTTATCCGATTTTTGGTCTACTTAAGTTCATGTTAAGATGGATTTACATCATTGATCATAATGACTTTGCCCGTGTGCTTTTCCACAGTCCGGTATCAATATTCTTTGGACGAAGGAAATAGTAGCTGTTTATTTATCAATGGTTTTGCCCTTTGGTTGCAAGCAGAAAAAAACTTGTTTTCACTTATTTAAATATCAGAATGAGAGTTTGTGATGATAAACCTTTTGGTGTTAGATGAATTTTCCCTAGCAAGTTCCTTGATTTTGATGCAAGAGCAGATTTTATAAAAGCTGATTAGAGACCTAAAGCATTGCCCCATATGCAAAAAAGTAGATATACTTTGTTTTTCTAATCTCAGTAAAAAAACACTACTGTTTTAATGCTACTTGTACATAGTGGACTAAAAACCCCTGTGCCTAACTGACAAAACTGTAGTTTCAAAATGTATAATACAGTTACAAACATTTTCAATCTAGATTGAAGAAAACACGTCTGTATTGACTCAGAACAAGTTTATTTGCAATTAGACATCTCATGCAATCATGCAGGACCACTAGCTATAGCTGTAACTTCCGAGTCTAAAAGACATTGGGTGAAAAATCCTCAACATTTAAGATAATTTTCATATTAGGAGCTCTGTATTTGAGCTGTAAATAATTTTCTAAAGGAATGTACCCACAGATTAAAAAAAACATACACACCTTTATCATATTTACAAAAAATATTTAATTAAAAATATTTTATAATTACAGTAGTCTATTAAAGCATATACTTTTCTCACTTACACTTATAGAACATCTCTATATATACACAGTATGAAATGTCACTCATTTATCTATACAATATGTAACATTCCTGCAGGGAGAAGAAAGTTCCCTGGGCCCGAATAAAATCATCTATTTTAAACAATAGATGTCAAATATATCTACAATGCTCTGGTAGATTAGTAAAGCTTCACAATTCAGCTGTTCTGTCCTTTTATAGTTATACTTCTAAAGTTTGATTTACTCTTGATCTTCTATCCAACAGAAGAGTCCTGTTTTTCTGCTTAAGGTTTAAATCTCCTCCCACCAAAATAAACATACAATTCACACCTGATATAAAAGGAACAGGAAAAAAACCCAACAAAAAAGGATGTGTTTAAATGCTATGGATGTGCAAAATGGTGAAAGGTTCTCTCTTGGAATGAAGTATGGAAACGACTCTGGGGTTGAATGATTTTTTCCTCTGGTCTGATGGCTGATATTTCTTTTCCCCCTCCCTCTCTAATGTGTCTTTCTCTGTTCCTCTGGCTCTGGATCTGCCTGCTGCACACCTGTGGAAGAGGAATGAATAGAGGGGGTGTGTGAACCATTCTGCTCCAGACTGACTGGCGCCACCAACAAAACACAAGACATGCTTGATCAACAACCCAAAACAAACCAGGTCAAACAACAACCGCAGCTCCCAGGCTAGGCCAAACAGAGGAATACACAGCTGCAAGCCCCAGCTAGAAGCGCTTGAGAGGGGACTTTCATAGGCAAGTCTCCCTTCAAACACTGTTGGAGCAGCCCAGACCCCATCTCTGCACCACGTATGAAACAGAAATGGAGACAGTTGTAACACTAGGAAAAAAAAAAATTCTTCCTTCAGAAAAGAACATAGGTGCACTCAGGTCAGAGAGGCATTAGCACTCCTGAAATACGATTCAGGGCGTGCTGGAGGAGAAATGAACTCCTCAGGAATGTGCAGTGGACTCCAGCTGGTTCCAAAGGAAGAGTTAGCTGAAACATTTACAGTGCAAAAGGGCACTGGCATGACAATGCTATGGATGGGAAGGATGCAGCCTCTGCAAGGTCTCCAAATGCCCAAGCGCGGCTTGCAACTCACCTTGGGTGCGGAGTTCAGCGGCACAGGATGCTGTCCCCCTGCTTGTTCACAGAGCCAGCCTGCACAGCAGTGAAACACATCGGTCTTAGTACAGATTATTAGCTCGGCCCTGATCTCCCTCTTCTCTACCCTTCCCACTGGGTCTCCATCACACCACAGGCACAGTGAAGCCTGGAGGGGAAAAGCCCCACAATGGAAGGAGCCACCACAGTGGGCTGTCAGTCTAGGTCAACAGAGACCTACTGTCCCCAGATTGGTACCCGCTGGCCTCCAAGCTGGACACCAGCCCTGTCAGGGTGATCCCTCCTGAGCTTGAGTGGGTGTTGCCTGCCAGGCAGGCTGGGCTGGGGGTGTCACAGGTTTCTCTCTGGTTCTGGGAGAGAAGATGCTTGTCTAGGGGTAAGAGTGGATGACAGGGAGAGATGAGCCCCCTCCCCTGGACCACTGCCATGTGTGCATCCCCCTCCCAAAAGCTGTCCCCGCTGAAGGGGGGAAGCGCCTCCAGCTGGTGCAGACTCTTGTGTCTACACATAGACACACCATATACACATACATAAACCAATACACACACACCATGCACACCCCAATACATACCAATATTGGACACACATGTGCGTAAATACACACGATACACCCAGTCTATACAACCATGAGATACTGCACACACATACAAACACTGGTGACACAAATACACATCGCTACATGTGAGAAACAAATGCACCACACACACATACATACATGATATACCCAGCATACACACAAATATATTTATCATACATGCACACACTCACACCAATAAACACACATACATGCACCCTATACACATGCCCCCACACACCAATACACATACACACTGGTATAGGCATTCATGATACACTCAGCATACCAACATGATACAGCACACACACCAATAAACACAAATACACACACACACAGGATACACCATACATACACAATGCACACAACATACACACAAACATGAGATACAGCATACACATGCACCCCCACCAATAAACAGATACACACGGCACCATACACCCCCCCACAGGTGCAAATACACACACGAT